TTTGTTTCCATTAATTACAGTCAACAAATCTGTAATAGCTAGATGTGTTTTTTTCATTTAAATCACACCAAATACAAGTTTACAACTTAACTTATTTGCTGTTTACTCTCTTTTGAGTCAGTCTGATCACACACCTCTCCCGAAGCTGCGTCCCATTTCTTCTGACTCCGAAACTAAACTGAGACAAGTTTCTGACGCCTGCAATTGCTCTGACTATTTTGAGATGATGTTTGCTGCACAAATGTTTTGACCATTTTCATTACTCCTGCAAATCAACAGCAAGGCCTTGAGAATCAGGAAACTGATATATGTTTAAAGCGGCAAAGGAACTCTAGAGGGACCTACCAGCTGTAAATTAGTCAGAGCAGTTTTTCTTCCCCTGCTAAAAACCCCACGGAGAGCTTCTACTGAACACTTTCCCACATCTGCCAGTCACAGCCCCTGTTGCTGATGATTCCTTCATTGTTGAGTAAGGAGCCTCTTTTTCTCCACAATTATGCACGGATGAGAAAATTGGATGCAGCGTGAGAGTTTGTGTTTAACCCAAAAGCACTTTGACACATTGAAGTTGTTGGGGTTCAAACCATCAATCTTCTGGCTGGAAGACGATGATTCTGCCACCGAGCCCCTTTTAGTTCTGACAGCTCATCAGTGCTGTGGCTTTGGAGAGAAGCACATGCATTATTTACTCTCACTATACCGGGAGTATACATACATTCGTCCATATTAAAGCAGGAGACCCACGATTTGCTTTCCATTGCCAAAACCCACTTGTGCACATGAGTGTGTAATTGTAGAAGGAAAAAGGTGCCAAACATGTACATGTAAGGGTTGAGCTTTAATAAAAAACAGAGCAGGGAAACATTTAGCGGTGCTATGTAAAAAAAAAATAATAATTGTTATTCAAAGTTGCAGTTGCCGAAAAAAAATAATTGAGCTGTATTGTTTTTCATAAATGATGCCATAAATAAAATATGTCCAAAAAATTGGTTTTAATGGGTGCTGGAAACTGTCAGAATCAGTTGTCTCTAAAATAAAAAGATATCCCTCCAGTCTGTGAAAACAAGTCAGTCATTCAGCGTCTCTGATCCACACGCAGCGAAGTAAAGCTCATTAGTTCCCATCCATGGAGGTGCATGAGGCGGCGCGGGCTGGAATCTCACCCGCCTGTCAGGAAAGTTGAGTACAGAGTTCATTTGTAGCTGCTTTTGTTTTCCACCCTTCCTCTGCAGCAGCTCCACGTTGGCTGGTTTTACCTGCAGGAATGGAGGACTGGTCGACCTCGCTTTGGTGCTTGGACTTTTTAATTAGTTGACACAAAATAGGGAAAATGTGGCGTGTGCAGAAAATATTCCTCATGCTTCTGCAAGTTGCAACTGCTGGAAAGGTTGTTTGTCCAGTGCATCTGGGTCTGCACAGGGTTATTTTGAATGCTAACGTCAAACATAATTGATCAATATGTCTAATTTAGGCCAGCTTTGGTTTTTTTAGAAATATTTTGTATCACTGGGTTGTGGCTGCAAGAGACATTCACAAAGAAGTTCCCAAAGTATCTCAAAATATTTGTGAAGGTTCTCAGTTTGGTCATCAGTTGCAGCATCTTGCTCTCATGTCACTGCAGTTTTTAACACATTTAACAAAGATGCACGGTCAGGATCTTCTTCTCGCCCTGATGTGTTGTCCTGTCTCCCCTCGTTAAGTGTTTATTGGACTCACCCGCCCCTTGTTATCCTACCCACCTGATTCCTGAATACCCTCATGTATTTAAACCCTCTGCTTATGCTTGTCTTGGGCCTAGTCCACACGTAGACGGGTTTTTTTAAAAACGAATATCCGCCCCTCCAAAAACTTGCATCCACACCACCTTGTTTAAAAAAAAACTCCGTCCACACGTACCCGGATAAATACGTTGTTAAGGACATGCCAGACCTGTAGGCGGCAGTACTTCCCCCGTTCTTAACCTCGACCTTCGTCTGTGGTCTTCCACAAGGAGCAGTGATTCCGCTTGCAAAAACAAACAAGCAGAAAGCGCTTGGACAATTGATGAAGCGAGCGCAGCTCTGAGGCATCCATGCTGTCGGCTAGTGTAAACACAGGTCGCACACGTGATGTCAGCATTTTTCTGTTGCGGAAAGTGACGTTGCGGACCTTAAAACTCCGGTTTTGTCTGTCCACACGCAGACACCCAAAACGGAGAAAACGCAGATCTTCACTTTGGCCGGAGTTTTTAAAAAGATCTGTTTTTGTGTGAAAAAACTCAGTTTTCGTGTGGATGACAGGCCAAAACATAGAAAAATATCTAAGTTTTGGCAGATCCCCGGCTACGTGTGGACAGGGCCTTAGTCAGACTCTTGTTTTCTTGCTGCTGCATCACCCTACCTATTGTTAGTAATATTAAACAGTTCTTTGCCTGCAAGTTAGCCTCCTGTTCACCTGCATTAGGGTCCTGCTGCAGCCACACCACCACTACATGATGTGCTTGAAAACCTTTCTCTCATAATATTCCCAGAGTTTTTTGCAGGTGTCTCGATGCTCTCTATATTCTGTAAATCAAAGTTCTGAATTTTGAAACCACTTCAGACGGTGCAGGCAACTGAAGAGCAAACAAAAAGAGGAAAAACACTTGCATTGAGGCACAAATTAGATAACCAAATTGCAACAGGAAATTTAGCAGAATGACTACCTTACAGTTTGTTTGCAACCTCACCACACTTCCCATGTGGCCTGGACTTTTGTATAAATTGTTGCAAAAATGTCGTGTTGACTGAAAGCTAAACTTTTCTATATTTTCATGCAATTTTGTGTCTCCAGCTAGTTGCAGCTGACAGTTATTGTGAGTTGAGTATAGTAGACTTCTGCAGAGAGAAAAAATAATAATTTATTTCACTAATTCAGCTTAAAAGGTGAATATGTGAGAAACTCATTCCATGCAAATCCAGATATTTTAAGTCTTTGTTATAATTGTGGTTATGGCTTAAAGCTTGTGAAAACTCTTAATTCAAACTTTCAATAGAGCTCTGCCAGTAGAGCAATATTCTGTTTTAGGGTTTTATAACACTGGTCTATATTTGATAGAGCACCTTTTTAAGATCTAGCCATTTTCTTTACCTGCTTGATCTCGTTGAGGATCGCAGGAGACCAGCAGTCAGCAGGTACACCCTGGTCAATACTCCGTCACAGGGTCATGCATAAAGTTGAACAACCAGTGTTTATTTAGACCCAGCGTGCAAAACTTTACTGTGCGAGAGAAAATCTGACTTTGCACACACGTGCAGAGCTAGAACGTGCAAACGTCAAGCAGAAAGGCTCCAGCCAAAATTCAAATCTGCAATGCTGACCCTGATCTTCCACTTGAACACAAATCAGAAGCCCTAGTTCCAGCTTGTGGTGTAACTATAGAACTAATACTCTCACCACGCAGAGAAATGACATCTTAATGACCAGGAACTCCAGAATGTTATGAGAGAATGTCCCCAAAAGAAGCGTTCACTCGGAAATTGTCCCTGTTTTTTTACAAGCTTGATCACTGACGAACAGGTTCGTTACACTTAAGCTCTTGACTTTTACTCTTAACCCATGAGCAGTGGCGTTGCAGACTTTGAGTTGCCATGGTCTCTTCTCCTCTTTCTATCTATGTAGGGCAGCCCATGGATCAGCTGACATCCCCATCCTCCCACATTCCCACACAATCTTGTTAAAGCATGCAGTTAATCGGAAGAGGAAAAGGACTCTCTCCACCAGCAAGCCGCGCTTTCATCAACCCATTGTGTTGTCCGCATCGCGCTGTCACATGAATGTCGGATTCTCCCAAAACTCTATATCCTACAGGACTTAGCGCGGCCTCCTAAGGGCCCGGTGTGATGTAACTCGCCTGCAAGTGACTTTGTGAACTGAGCATGATCAGCACCCTGCAAGGAAACATTGTGATAAATTAAAAAGTAAAACTGACATCTCAGTTGGGACTCTCCATTTTCTTATTCCTAAAATGTTGCTCTGCCATTAATTATTCAGTCCACGGTGCCGCCAATGAAGACCCACTGTGCTACTCTCCAGAAAATCCTTTAGAAGTAGCCCACAGTCATTGTGTTAGAAAATCTCGCTCATGATCTCAGTTTTGCAAAGCAAAAACACTCCTGTGATCTTTCCCTCTCTGATGTTCTTCCATCAAGAGCTCGTTGGAGACAAAGAGTCCAGACTGGTTCTGGGGCTCTGCTCCTGTCATTACACCCGAGGCCAGGTGAAGTACAGCAATTTGACAGACACAGACACAGGGCAGCTCCGCAAAGACCTTTGATTGAATTGCCATTCACTACCACTGCTGCTCTTCAATCGCAGATGTCTCGACACTGCGAGAGACGCAGCAAAAGGGTCATCCATAAAGGCAGGAGGGCTGCATCCAAGCCCTCGTCTGACAGGAGAGTTATAGTCTGGATGGAGGGGATGGGGAGGCTGTTTGTCCCCACTGTGAAGTAGCTCGACACCTTGAGATTCTGGGCTCCAGCTCAAACCTTTCTCTGACCTTGTTAGTTTTTTTATTTATTATTTATTCAATTTTTTTTGGAAGAGCCTCTTGCTTTTGTGGGTTGTGGAGGAATCTGCCAAAAGCACCTTCAGTATTTCAAAAGCGAGAGAGCGAGAGCAAATCCTGCAGAATTTATGCAAGTGTCACGTAATCACGAGCGTGCTTTTTCAGCTGCTATAAAAATGCACTCTGTTCTAAGACAGGCTCCATGGGCTGATTGGGCTGGAGAGGAAAATAAAGCGTGAAGATTGAGGCAGACCTCTTGGCTCTTCTCCTACTTGGAGTGATTGCGTTTCATTATTAATTGCAACGCCACTGCCTGAAGGCGGCTCGCGCCGTGATTTATCTGAAAAAACAGATTCTCGAGACGATTTGCAAAGCAAAACACAAACTGATGTTGAGCACCGTTATTGTCCCACCTCCTCCCCGCCGTGTGACCATCATGCATGTTGCAGCCATGTAAGGATTTAGTGCTTTGGTTGATTTGGCAACACTGCCATCTCATGGTGAGCAAAGAAACAGCACTGTGCCCTTTTTTGACTTTTCTAAACATCTTCAATTGGAAATTTTCTATTAACTAAGAAAAGGACACATCAACTGTTTCCACTCTATAGTATTGTTTGATAGTAAATGCCATTAACAAGATCTTGATTTTTCTCTTCAACTCATCTTGTCGCATTTAGAAAAATGTGTTTAAAAACAAAATCTGCAGTTTGTAGATTTAAAGTGTCTTTTTATCCCGTTTTCTTCACTGGAGAAACTGACAACTGGTGTTAAGGTGATCGTTTTTAGGAGAAACCTCCTCTTGTAGCTGCAGAAATCCACATTTGATCTTTTTACCATGGATATTTTCTTCAATTTTGTTTCAGTTCTTGTCACCAACCCTCAAGGGAGCTGAGACGAGAGAGGTAGGTTCAGCCGAGAAGCCCCCCACCCCCCAGAGGTCAAAGTCATGCCTCACGACATTTACAGCCTTCCTTTTCCTCGACAGCTCTGTGATCTTTCCCTCCATCGGCTGACATCTGTGTTTGTGTTACAGCTCCGTGTCCCTCTTCAGTCTCCAATTCCTCGTCCTCGCTGCTCCTCTGGCTTTGACAGCAGAGCAGCCAAGCATCGCATGTCTCCAGCGCTGACTCTCGTACCTGCTGCTCACACTGCACCACAAAGATCCTGTACAGCTCCAAAAGGACAACCAGGATGTTCTTGCAGGTGAAGAAAATCATGAGCTGATTGAGTACCCGCTCTTGAATCATGAGGTAAAGGCGGTACACCAGAAAAGGGCCATCTTGGAGTCCGACTGTTAGCAGCAAGCTCCACACTTCACTAGAGCAGCAAGAGAGAAGAGAAGATGGAGGACCATGGCAGCACTGGAGACTCCCCCTGCTTCTGCAAGAAGACCCGTACTTTAGGGGTTGAGTCTGGGTGAGAACCAGAGGGAACTGCATGAGTGCCCAAGTGAAGAGAGCCAGACCGGTGAGGACAACCACCTTGTTGTTTTTCACTTCAGGTTCCTTGAAAGTGTCAAAAATGTCTAGGATGTCGGCGCCAAGGCCAACATACACCATGAGGAGCTGGGAGAGCTGATCGCGGGACATGTCCCCTTTGGGCATCAGCCAGCGTCCCAGAACCAAGACGATGAGCATGGTCTGTTCCAGACCAGCGACCCAGTTCTCCGGGTCCAGCTCAGCAACGCCCTGAAGGAAGGAACGAACGTGTTCTGGGTTAATTAGAGGTATTTAGCAAAGATCTATAATCAAAACAGCAATGCAATGCGTGCGTGCGCAAAAATGGATAAAAGCCATTTTTGTTAAAAATAATTAAACTTTAACTTATAACAGCTTAAGTTAATCATTTTTTAACTCCATAAATGTTTTTTTCAATGTATAAAAATTGAATCATTTGTAACTTTAGATGACACAAAAAGCCGTCAGTTTGAGCTCAGGTTTCATGTAGTTGTACAACACATTCTCACACCCTAACCCCGGGTTTCCATAGGAGCCGTCAGCAGCACGTTACTGCAGCAGCACGTCTTGCTCGTGTAAGCTGCTGCTTGGCCCTTCCCACGAGACGCGAAGCAGCAGGGGAGCAGCTGTCACCGACAGGGCACGAAGTCACACGAGTGACTTCGTCAGTAAACACAACAACAAGCAGGAGAAAATTACAACATGGTTTGTGTTTTATGCTCTGTCCGTTTTATAATCGCCAATACGGACCTGAAAAACAAAGGAGACCGCTAGCTAGGTGATAACTTCTCACGGGGACGCACAGTTAGTAACCTTTTTTAAAAGTAAAGCAACCGGAAGGCAGTACGTTCTTTATTCTGAAAATCTCGGTAGCTTCTCTCCATTTCCACGTCCGATTTCCTGTCTTTCCTTCCCCAAAAATGTCGAACTTGACCCGTTTCAGAGGCGTCGCGCGTAGAAAATAGAACCGGCGCGTAAAGGCCGCGACATGCTGCTCCTGAGACGCGGTCGACTCGCGCTGCTGACGGCTCCAGTGGAAAAGGTTCTGTTGACCACAGCGGTTCCTATCAGCAGCTATGACGTGCTGCTGCAGTAACGTGCTGCTGACGGCTCCGGTGGAAAGCCGGGGTAAACGTCAAAAGCAAACGCTTGGTCAGCCACCCTCCACGTCGGACCCCTGATGCCAAAAGTGCCCTTTTTCGTTACTTATGTGCAAAAAGGGGGTTTTCCCTTTTGTAACTGCAGATCCCAATGCAGCGTAAAACTGACGTGATTAGATATCTGCCGATGCGGCACCGAACCAGCTCATTTAACCGCACCTAAACCTTAACGTTTCACTATTTATAACCATCCCCTCTCCCTCATCCTAACCGTAACCCTCTTGCTACCTAAAACGTTACTCTCACTGTGATCAAGCGTTTGTTTCCCGTGCATTCTGACTCTGACAGTCAGAGTCTGACTGTCAATTTTCGTATTTGCCGCCCAAGAGGAACGTTAGAACATACCATCTGGCGAGGGGGAGGTTACACATACCCTCTACTTTTAACCTCCACTGTGGTAGTTGAAACCTCCCCCTCGCGTTGGCTCGGTCCAAACCCGACCAATGACAAGGCGGCTCCCGCCTTCACTTCATAGAGCCGGCTTTTAGAGCGACCGACACATCACTAACGTGTTTGCTAGCTAGATGGTTAAGGTTAGGATAGGGGTGAGGGGAAGGTTAAATAAGAGGATAAGGTTAGGGTGAGGTACAACGAGCTTGTTTGGTGCCCTGGCTGCGGACATCCCATCGCGTCAGTGCAACACTGCATTGGGATCTGCAGTCAAATAAGGGAAAAAACCCTTTTCGCACAGAAGTAACGAAAAAGGGCACTTTTGGCGTCAGGGGTCTGAGGCGGAGGGTGGCTGACCAAGCGTTTGTTTTTGACGCGCTGGGAGTGAGAATGTGTTGAGTTGTAGCTAAAAGTCACAGACTACATGACATCACACTGCATTCATTTCAAGGTTTGATCAAATCAGCCATGACTTCATCCTTTCTCAATAATTTCTGACATTTACAGCAGCAGGAAACAAAATCTTCACAGAACACTGAGCAATGGTTCATGTTTTCCTTACCTGCCCCTTAAACTTGGAATAAGCTACAGAACCTGAAGTTCTCTGTGTTCTTCCTGCTGTGGTGCTTTGAAAATCAAGTTCATGTTTGTTGTGGTCTCTAGTATAAATGAATGCCTTGTGAGTCGATCTCTGTGGGGAAAAAGCTGTGGCGCTCCTGTTTCAGGAACTAGAGTTGCTAATGCTAATGTTAGCTTCAGTTGGCCGAGACGTGCTCTGCTCTCCCCTGGATTCTACATCAACTACAGCCTTCGCCATCGTGAGCCCAGATGGGTGAGTCCATGAACGCTAACTTGACATGATGAAGTGCAACAGTCCGGATTTTCTAATCTGAGCTCTTTGTCAATTTTCTATCGGCGGCTATTGCAGGAAATGGGTGAAGACTGTTCTCGCGTTTAGCCTGCAAGTTAACCTCAGTGTGGCCGATCATATTCAAGTAAAAACACTTTCTCAGTGAACTTGGCCTTTAATATTAATGCAAAATGTAAAATCTTCTCTAAAAATGTGGTTTTCCATTCAACTCACTTTATTCATTCACTTAAACATTATTTCATAGAACTGATGGCATCTTGCTAAAGTCTTTGTGCTTTCTGTTGAAAATCAGACCTGTTGTCTCATAGGCATAACCTGAAATAAAGGTGAATAAATCCAAAAACAAGAGGCGTTTCTTCTTTTTGTTTTTAGATTCTCCTCAGCATAATGTCAAGAACCTAGTAGATCCCTTCCTAAAGTTTCAAACTCTTCCCGCAATTACATGCCTTCAATTTTTATACTCTGCCTTGCCTGTGACACAACCAGGGGACAAAAAGGCTCCTAAATCCTACACGAAGGAAACAGAGCTAATACCGCCCCCAGAAGAGAGGATCTGAGACTATCTGAACTTTATCTCCGTCTCCTTATTACACATTTCCTGCGACTAATGGTGTATCCAACTTTGTGCCAGATTTAAATCTTATCTGTGATCAGGTGTTGCTTTAATGTGCCTGCACAGGTTTGGTCGCTTACCACTGAGATGGGGATGTGAGCCAGCAAACGAAGCTCATGGCTGGAGGAATTATTGAGGGGAAGCTTGGCCTGTAACAGGCTCAGCTCCAGGAACCAAATGGATGGGACCACAGTGCTGAGGTAGAGGAAAACCATGGGGGAGAACCTGAAAAGAAGACCGCCAAAGGAAAGGTGAAACAGGTTATTGACTTTTGCTGTCCACTAAAGGAAAACAATATTCCCTCAGGTTTTTTTCTCTTCATTTAAAAAAAAAAAAAAAAGAAAACATCACGTTTTAGACAGGCAATTATTCCCATCATGTATGCAAATCCCTGTCGACAGTCTTCACGAGGATCAAACTTCAAAGTAAGACTGGGTGAGAAAGGGAAGAGCCTGGAGAAAGTGTGTGTGTGTGTGTGTGTGTGTGTGTGTGTGTGTGTGTGTGTGTGTGTGTGTGTGTGTGTGTGTGTGTGTGTGTGTGTGTGTGTGTGTGTGTGTGTGCGTGTGTGTGTGTGTGTGTGTGTGTGTGTGTGTGTGTGTGTGTGTGTGTGTGCACGTGCACGTGCACGTGCATGATTGTTTGTCCTGTGTGTCTCTGTGTTGCCCTGCGATGGACTGGCTCTCTGTCCAGGGTGTACCCTGCCTGATTTCCCGTTGACCGCTGGAGATAGGCACCAGCTCCCCTCACGACCCTATGTGGACAAGCAGGTTCAGAAGATGGATGGATGGATGGATGGACTGCAAAAGAGCGTGACAGAGATGTGAAGTCAGAGCCACAGCTCGGTGAATGACAAAACAGTAAGACAACAAAGGAATGGATTTGTTTTTGATAGTGAAAGGAGAGAAAAAGCTGCTGAGAACAGGAGGGAATTTAATGGTTCAGAGTATTGTGTCCAGTACAAGCTGCCTTTCATGGCTCTGGGCAGATGGGCTGGAAAAATGTTCACAGACACGAGTTTAGGAGTTATTTTCTTCTCACTAAAAACAGCTTTACAAAGTCTGCTTCAAGCCGCCAGTCAAGCCTTAAAAAATATTATGAGAGCCCCTCTGGCAATTTCTTGTTCTTTTTTTAATGAATTAATTTTATCTATATTTTAATGAACGTTAAAACTCGGCAGAAACGCGTTGCCGGGTATTTGTTTAGTTTGGGTCTTTTGTGCAAAAAGTGGTGAAAACTAAATCTGAGCTCATTTCCTTGCTGCTGGAGGAAAAACAACTCGTTTTTATTCTGTAGCTGATCTCTGGGTGTAATTAAAGCACGCTTAATGTAGATTTTTTTTCAGTGCAAATTGTGGACAATTATGTTGTTTTTATATATGTTATATATATATATATATATATATATATATATATATATATATATATATATATATATATATATATATATATATATATATATATATATATATATACATTCCAGACTTTTTTACCTTTTAAAAAACTGAATAGCTTAAATTTTACCTCTTTTTCACATTTTTAATGACTGCTCTGCAGGGTCACCCCTAGAGATTGTTCATGGCCAGATGCCAGATGGGGCCAGTGAAAATTTTGGGTGGGTCCATCAAGCTGTGCATTAAATTGCTCCTGTGTCACCACAGAGAAGTTAGCTAGAGGAGAATAGCTTCAGACGACCAGTGGTGCCTGTGTACAGCAGACTCGCCTCTGTCAGCGTGCCCCAGGGCAGCTGTGACTACAATGTAGCTCATCACCACCTGGGTGTGAATGTGTGTGTGAATGGATAAATAACTGATTGGGTTGTAAAGTGTCTTGGGGGTTTTAGGACTCTAAAAGGCGCTACATAAAATACAGGCGATTTACCATTTTATAGTTAATTTTGAAGATGGTGAGCAGTATCAACGTATTTATTTATTTGTTTGTTTTTTTATTGGGTTTTAGATTTATATCTTGATTGAAGGAGATGTTTGTGAAAAGGTGAATGGGATTTATTAATATGGGGAAGGTCTTCCATGAGGGGCCAGTAGGGTGGCCAGCAATTTTCCAGGAGGGCCTTGACCACCCCTGGCCACCCCTTGTGGGCACCACTGCTACTCTGTTTTATGAAACAAGATTTCAGCCTTTATTAATTGTGTGTTTATCTTTTTGAAAGCCATTGGGATTGCATCTAATTTCACTGAAGGCCTTTCAAAGTTATTAATAATTAATTCATTATTTCATTCATTCATATTAATTAGTCTGTGGCTGTTGTCTCCACAGTGCTACTCCTGTTGTATATTTTCTTTAGGTACATCTACATCATCACAATATTATGATTTTGATCTAAGGACATAAAAAACCTCAAACATCCTAACCAGACTGCACCATTGATTCACAAAAAATTAAAATCATGTCAAACAATAGAATTTTACAAAACCGTTACCATTTCCATTCCGCGTTGCGGGTGCATTTGAGAGTGACAGCCATTTCCACGCCCAGCAGAGCCACGCCCGTCAGCAGCAGCCAATACAACGGCTCCCCTTTAACGGCCACAACTCTCCAGACCGTTACGACCCCGTGGACCGCAAACAGGAAGCGGCTCAGCAAAGCCAAAGAGACGTTCAGGAGGCGACACATCCTGCACAGCAGAGTACGTGGGAACAGAAGATGCCTCACTGCAGTTTTGAGCCACTTTTGATTTTAAAAACTTACTACAGTGATCCCTCGCTACTTCGCGGTTCATTTATCGCGGATTCACGACTTCGCGGATTTTTCTTTGGAGCCTTATTCAAGGGAAATTCGCCGATTTGCGGCATTTTTCACCGATTCGTGGTATTTTTCTATAAGAAATATCAAGAAATTCCTGTTTTTTTTCATCAATTTCATCATAAAATGCACTTTTTGTAATAAAACCATAAAAAAACAAGTAAAAATACAGTACTATGTAAAGGGAGGGTTTTAAAAGTCTGAATACTGAATACGTACCTGTTAAATAAATACTGTAAATTTGGTGTCCCTACTTCGCGGATTTTCACCTATCGCGGCCAAGTCTGGAACACATCTACCGCGATAAACGAGGGATCACTGTATAGGTTTCTTTTTGTCAGAAAAGATCACTAAAAATTTAAAAGTGAACAATTGTTTATGTTAATCTGATGTAAGCGCTCATTAAAACATGGTGCTTTTAGATTAAAGAGTGCAATAAGAAAATTTACAATATATATTTAAGAAAATCTGTAAAATGCACTAAAGGGTAAGTGAGATCATGCCATAACTAAATCTAAAGCAAACATGGAAAAAATACTAAATAATTCATGCCACGGCCCTAAGTTCAGCCTGCGTTATTAGTAACTATTGCAAGATGTGTCTGTGTACAAACAGCCTCTGCTGTCAGATTAAAGCCTGGGATCACAGCAGGTGGTGATCAGTGAGCATCACTTAAAAAAACTGATCTGCTGTCAATATTAAACGACTCGACCAGGATTTACTCAAGTCTAATCAGGATTACTCTTGCGGCTTGATGACTTAAAACTTGTGCCAAAAAGGAGACAACTCAATAGGAGGCATGGTTGCCTTGGTTGTCTCGTTTAAGACTTCCTGTCATGATCTGTGTAATACACACGACTCCAACACAAGTGTCACATGTGATATTATTCACAAACTATAAAACTTTAAATAGAAAACTTTGAGATATAAATTTTTGGGGGGGAAAAGCGAAACAAATTGCATGTTTTTGAGCTTAACTATGAAAAATGGTCCAAAAATGTAGTCTCCACATGAATATAGTTAAACAATAACTAATATTATGATGCATTATTTCATAAAAAGCTATTTAGATTTCTGAAAGTACATCCATACACATGAAAATACTATGAAAAGTAGTGGCATAAATTCATTGTATTGTAGTTTATTACTATTATTATTATTTTTATGTTTTTCTTTATTTACCTCACAATTAAAGTTTCCTGGGAAAAGTAAGTGCAATAATAAAAAAAATACATTAAAGTAGGATGCTTTTGTGTTAATTTTGACACATTTTAATTAATATTTTGAATTTTTAAAATGTTATATATGCTTCATTTCAGGACACCCCTCTGTACTTGTTCTTAATGCAAAGCAATCTATATAATCTTTAAATATACAAAGACCTGAATTAAAAAAAATGTTAGAAAGTAAGCTTAAAGATCAAATTGAATATTTCCCATAAAAATATGCTTTTATTTTGACAATAGGTTTCTTTTTGCCTCCTGCTCAGCTGCTTCTCTGTAATTTAACTTAATGCTGTATTTTGCATTCAAATGTACTTTCAAAATATGCCTTTTAAATACATTGTATGCAGTACAAACCTAAAGTGCAACCTGGACTCCTTGTTGATCCGAGAGGGTAATTCCAAAAAAAAGGAAAACTAAAATTTCTGCAGAGGATAGAAGTGATGCTCACACACGGTCTGTCCAGTTTATGTGACTTCCACCTCGGAGCTACGGGAACCGTACGCACAACGCTGTGGTGTGTGTTCCTGTGTGTGTAACTGCCATTCAAGCGAACTTAAGAATCTGTGCGACCCACACACACACACGCCCTCTCTGCCAGTGCCCTCATAGGAGATAAGACTTCCTGCACTTTGTGCCCACATCTTCATCGCTATCCGCCATGATGTCATCTCTCCTGGCCCAGAACAAAGTTATCTGTTTGGGAGAAACCAGACTGTCGGGAGCACCCAGCCCAGTCCTGGTCTGACTTTACACTGCTGGCCCAGATAACCCCATCGCTCGCTGCACACACAGACACAAGACGGAAACCAGGTGCTGATAGCCCCTCTAAAACCCCAAAAGGAGAGCTTTAGTCTGCTGCAACAGAATTGGGACACTGATGTGGTCAATGATAAGTAAAGTGTCATAAATCTGGAGGTTCTGTGTGGCGCCTCACCATCGCCGAGTCTCTTAATTATTCTCAGCTCAAGCTTTGTTTGAGCTCTTCAAAAAGAATATCTGTCATTTCATCAGTTAGTTCTGAAGGAAGCCGAGCTGGCTTGTTAGAGCTTTGCCACTTAAGAAAATCTCCTGCTGTGACAAGAAGAGGAAAGGTTGTTGTTAAACTCTCAGAAGATCAGTTTCAGGGCTACGTGATGAAAAGTTTACACCCTCTTTATAAAGATGGCTTTTTTCTTTCCACAATCCAGAGTCGGTTAGAGTTGCGTTATTGTTATCCAATCAAGACGCGAGATGTCCAAATATCAGGAAATCCTGCCGTCTGAATGTCAGCTGTGATGTGGCTCATTTCTAAATGATAAATGATAAATTACCTGCACTTGTATAGCGTCTTCCAGAGTAAGGACTCCAAAGCGCTTTACACTCCAGTGCATCATTCATCCATTCACACACACATTCACACACTGATGGTGATGAGCTACGATGTAGCCACAGCTGCCCTGGGGCGCGCTGACAGAGGCGAGGCTGCCGAGCACAGGCGCCACCGGACCCTCCGACCACCGCCAGCAGGCAAGGTGGGTTAAGTGTCTTGCCCAAGGACACAACAGCTGAATTCTCTGTCCGGAGCCGGGATCGAACCTGCAACCTTCTGATTACTGGACAACCCACTCAACCTGTTGAGCTACTGCTGCCCCCCCTCCCTTTTTGTTGCCTCTTGTTCAGCTGCTTCTATGTAATTTAACTAAATGCTGTATTTGCATTCAAATGTATTTTCAAAATATGCCTTTTAAATACATTGTATGCAGTGCAAACCTAAAGTGCAACCTGGACTCCTTGTTGATCCGAGAGAGTAATTCCAAAAAAAAAAGGAAAACTAAAATTTCTAGTTCCTGAAACTGGTGCACCGGCGTTCCCTGGTATTTTGTTGCAAGAAGACACACAAACACTCAGGTGGTGGAGGAAGTCCTTTAATAACAAGGAAACAGGCAGACCTGGCAAAAGGAGATAAGATTCTCCTAAACGTAAAAATAAACTAAAAGAAATAAATGGGTGGAGGAGCAACGGAGAGAGAGTGGTGGTGATGGAGGACGAGGGTGAATAAGTTATCAGCCATGCAGGACGCCTCGTCTCATCCTCCTCTCGGCTGAGAGGAGTGTTTGCTTTTGGAGATAATGGCGGCTCACACAGACAAGTCAGTTTCCTGATTCGTGTTGATCAGAGTCGGATGGACAAAAACATCTTAATCGGCCGATAAAATTCCAACAGGCATTTTATTGCATTGCCTTTATACAACTATTTGTATCAGTAGTTAAATATGTTTAGGTCCTTCTAACGGGTTTAAACTCATCACTACTTCAGTTTTTTTACCAGATGTCTGTTTTCTCAGACCGCCGTGAGCTGAAGTTTCCTCCTGCTGAAGCCTGCAGCCTCCGGTCAGCTGCACCAGTCTGTCAGCATCAAAATGTCACAACTCCAGCAGTTTCTTATGTACAGCTCTGAACCTGAAGGGCAGGCCTTTGCTCTCCACTGCTGCCTCCCTTTTCACATGGTGTATGCCACCCAGTAGATCACATTCACCACGGCGAAGGTGAAGGGGAACACAGCCCTGGCGTAGATGTCAATGGTGTCGGCGTCGATGGGTTTGCAGACACACTTGGAGCAGCACTTCTTGTTTTCCTCGCTCTCCTCCGCCGGCCTGGACCTCCTGCTGCTCGGCTCGGGCTCCTCTGTGCCGCCCTCGCCGGGTATCTCGCTGCTGGGGCGTTGGGTCCGACCCTGGCGGTTTGAAATAACGACTCCTTGATTCACGCCGGTGACTGACAGGGAAAACAGAACCATGGCCTGTTTGCTGTTCTTTACAATAGACTGTAAAGGGGAGAAGAAGAAAATTAGGCAATGCATGTCATTTTCTGCATGAGACACAACATGTTTTCTTTAACTAAGTAACGGCATGTTGAGCGTTTGCAAGTTCCTTTTTCCTGCCCGCACTTATGTTACTCGGGTATATTTAAGTCTATTAAACAATCCAATCCAATTTTATTTATAAAGCGCATTCACAAAGCATTACAACCAAACAAGGCACTGTACACTAAAAATGTTGGTTAATTAAACCGGCGTTATACAAACATGTCGAACACAGATAAAAGATAAAAAGGAAATACAACAAAATTCCCAAAAATAACAGCTAAAAATCAACAAGACACAGGGTGAATAAAAATTAGAAAAGCATTTTAAAAAAGAACCTCAATAGTACGGAAGTCGATAATTGTGGAGTCCATTTTTAAACAGTGCAGATGTAAGTGAGGTTTATAATTATGTGGTATAAGCTAGGTTGAAGTAGTGAGTTTTCAGGCGTGATTTAAAAATGCTAGCTGTTGGTGCTAGCCTCACTGGCAGTGGTAATGTGTTCCACAGCGTCGGTGCACAGACAGAGAAAGCCCTTTCTCCACGGCTTTCTAAACGTGCATTTGGAACAGCTAGGAGGAGCTTATCTTCAGACCTGAGAGCACGCGGCGGGTTGTAGTAATGGACAAGTTCACACAGATATGGAGGAGCTTGATGGTTCAAGGATTTGTAAGTGAGAAGCATAATTTTGAAGTTTTTCCTGAACTGCACGGGCAACCAGTGGAGAGATTTCAGAATTGGAGAAATGTGTTGTCTTCTGTCAGCTCCAGTCAGCAACCTAGCTGCTGAATTCTGGGCCAGCTGAAGTCTAGAAAGAGCTGCTTTACTGATGCCATATTAAAGACCATTTTCAAGCTAACCCATGCACATTACGAGTAAGGATGGCCAAAATTGTCAACCTACCATCATTTTTGTCTGATATCTGCAATAAAAATTAATATAATCGTTTTTTACTCTTTTAATAACACTTCTTTTACATACCATGCACATATTATACATAAACTCTTCTGCTACTTCTCCTCTCAATTAAAGTCTAACTAAGACAGATCTGAGGTCTCGTTTTTGAGATATTATTGGACGATTAACCACACTTAAATTGAACTATTTCTCATATTTTGCCTAAATCATGTTTAGAAGAAGAAGAAGAAGAAGAAGAAAATGTCATTTCTATAGCGCCTCTCAAGATAAAAATCATGAGGTGCTTCACAAAACATAAAAATATAAAAAGGAATTTAGAAAATGGTTAAAAATGTATTTGAAATGAGCAAAAAATAGACAATTGTGATTAAAAAATGTAAAGAAAGAGAGAGAGTGAATAGATAAGAGAGAAATCAGTGGATCCTGAGGAAGGTAGAATGGGTAGCGAGAGTGAACAAGGAGAGGGTGAAGAAGGTCATACAATAACCAGCTTGAGCAGGCGAGTTTTCAGCTGCTTCTTAAAGGAGTTCACTGAGTCCACTGATCTCAGGCTCAAGGGAGAGAGTTCCAGAGGCTGGGGGCCACAGCAGCAAATGATCTGTCACCTTTGGTCTTTAGCCTGGTGCTGCACAACCAGTAGGCTTTGATCACTGGACCTCAGGGACCTGCTGGTGGTGTAGGGACTGAGAAGATCACCAGTGTAAGATGGTGCTTGTCCATGTGAGGCCCTATTGACCATAACCAGGATCTTAAAATGAACCCTGAAGTTGACTGGCAGCCAATGAAGCTGGAGGAGAAGCGGTCCAGACTGCGGTTTGAAGCGGTTTTAAGTTAAGAACGCATGACAGGAGAAATGTGGGGTGTTAGTTAGCTAAAATTGTTATTTATTTATGAGAGGGGACGCAGAAAATGTTAACATTGGTTAATATTGGTATTGATATTAAACGTTGGACTATTCGGCGTGTCAGGTGTTGGTTGAAAAGCCGATATTGAAAATCCACCGAAACCCAGCTCACAAGGCAGGATTTTTGTTGTCGAATGTCAGCCGATTTTCATTGCAGAACAGACCACACATGTGGTGATAAAAAAATATATAATAAAAATCACGGATATGCCAGTTTCAGTCCTACGTTGTGTGGTGTGCAGCAAACACTACAACACACTACAGCCACATTTACTTAATGGACAATCCTGACCCAAAAAAGAGTCTTTGCACAATGAAACGTGACTTCAATCAACAGGCAGTAGGTTCAATAGTTTCCTAAAATCAGACCAAGACAATCTGACATGTCTGAATCTGAATGCCCAGATTAAAGATTGGTCCCTAAATCTATCTGAGCAGACCACAAAAGACAGGATTATCTGAAAAGATTCTTAATGGTAATTGTGGTCATTCTATAGATGTTTGAGAGGAAAAGTGCAGATCAGAAACGAGCCTGATTATCCTGCCGCTTAACTTCGAGGCATTACCGAAATGAAACAGTCCAAACAAAAGAATAAAAGACAAATAAACAGTTTTGCACCAATGCTAATTTCTACTGTGAGTCAGTTGGAATAGATTACCTTCTTCATAGGAGAAGTCTACTTGAGCCAATGTGAGGAAACTCTTTATTACTAAAATGGTAATTTCTTACACCAGCTTTGATTTCTTCACTTTTTGTTTTAAATATTGTTTATTTATTTTTTTGTTTGTTTTTACGTTACTCGAAACAAATGTGTTGGCATATTAATGAAAATCGGTTAAGGAGCGTTAAATGTTTCAATTGGAACTGTTGAATTAAAACTGATTTAGAAAATAAACCTTGACACTTTTTTTTTACCAATTCTGAATGTATTTACAGTTAATTTTAAGAGATTTAGTTTATCATCCTGATTGGATGTTGTGATTAATAAACTCACATATAACTTTACTAAACGATGTAACTTTCACCTCACGTATGTGTCCTACAATCCGACAGGTCCCCTGGTTGTTAAAAGGACTTGTAAAAAGTGGAGTAAATCATTCTAAAACCACATTTTCCAAACTAAAGGAGCTGACGGGAAAATGAAAATCACAATGTCTCCCATCAGGGAAATCATCTATTTTTCTCTACAGAGATTCATTGTCTCTCTGAAGGTCAGTGAGATGTATACTTGTCAACGCTGATGCTGCATGTTCAGCCCAGCCCAGGTGCGTTACTAACAACTGAGAACACGGTTGTCTTGTTCTGACGGAACAACGGGATGCGGAGGATTTCCTCACCTCGGAGCTGAGCTTGTTTGCCTTCACCTTGGCCTTCTCTTTGAGTCGGTAGTCGGCGTTGTAGTGAGCGAAGGCATATTCAATTAGGGCCGCAAACACAAACACATAACAGATCCAGAAGTAGACGTCCAGCGCCTTGATGGCTGACGCCCGAGGCAACGAAGAGCGGGCGCTCACCATCAGGGTAGTCATGGTAAGAACAGTTGTGATCCCTGCAGAAATAAAACAATAAAACACACAGATCATAGACTGGACTTCTGAGGGGATTTGATCGAAAGCACAAAAAGACGTTTCTTTAAAGGTAGCTATAAAATATTCAAACCCCAACAGAGCAGCAAAGTAATGCTTTGAAACATACAGAATCTTTCTTTTAACAGCTTTGTATTATTATTATTATTATTATTATTATTATTTTAGATGACACTTTTTTAGGGATATTTCTCCAACTGAAATAAAACTGTTTATTCAGTTATTAAAAAAAACACACCTAGTTTATCTTTCTCAAGTTATTCTGTGTATTAAAAAAAATAAACAAATCTCAACCTGCTACTGTTAACTTGGATAATTCAGTCAGTAACATCTATTAGCATTAGCATGTCAGCAGTGGAACAAACATCTTTAATTTTGCTGACGGCAATTTGACTTGCAAGAGTATGATCAATGGCTGTGTTCCATTTATGCAGCTGCTAGTTAAAAACAGCTAATGAGCAGAATTATGTCTGGTGTAATGATCCTCTATTGAGCGGTTCCCATACCTTACTGTTAGAAAAAGCACGTTTCAGCCTTCACATAAAAAAATTGTCTAAGGCCTTTAAATGTGTTGTAACACACTTGGTGGGGGGGGGGGGGGGTAGAACCTTAGAAGACATACATGAATACAGGCCATCTGTATTTTTATTTATTTATTTATTTTAGACTTTAAAAACAAGAGAATCCTTAAAATGACATAACTAAGACCAACCTAAGGTTACACGAGCAGGGACAGCTGATTGGCTAATCCAAAAGGACACCCAAGACATGGCAACCAGGAGTATCGAAGGCATGTACGACTGGATGATGTAGACACCTCGGTTACGTCTCAGCTGGAAGCGAAGACTGAGTCTCGGGAAGCGTCCCGCTGAGAAATAAAAACATGACAGATTTTAAGTGTGTTGAATTTAAATCTACAACTGAAAGAACTAATTTTCCATCATGGAATTTTTTTATTGTTCCTCACAGGGATTGCCTGTCTGCTCTCTCGCCCCGCTGTAGTGGGAAAACGGTCGTAAAACGTTGACCTGTGATGCAGGCAACGTCTTCCAGCAGCTAGTCTTCATTTATTTTAAATACAGCCCTACTAAAACAGGCTTTATGTCTATATAAATATTCCTTATATACCACCAGAGTTCCCAGGAGTAAAAAAGAATTCTGCCTTCAGAAAAAATCTGCAGACCGGTGGCGAGAGGTAAAATGGGGAGAAAAATAGACGCTCACCTGATTTGAAGTTCATAATTTCTGTAACAAAGCGGTAGTCTGTTATGGTGAACTGGGAAAGCTCCAGCTTGTCGAGTCCATGAATGTGTCGTTGACTGTCTGACCAGTGATACACTATGTCCTCCGATGAGTAGCCATCTTGAACAATTAAACACAGAATGTGAAATAAACCTTCTGCGCTCTGCTAAATGCGTTTTTGTCTATTTTCGCATTTTATCATTTTTCCTGAAGCATGTGCGGAAACTTTAACTTACAGCTCTCCAAGTCCAGCATGCACTCTTGTTCGTCCATGGGATACTTGGTGAGGTCCATGTCACACGCCACCGTCGACGTGATTCTAGAGACGCAACGAAAACACTATTAAAACCAAATTTAAAAAATGCTAATTTTAAAACGCAAGAAATCAGACAGAAGAAGAGTAACAGCGCTGAAGAATGGAAATAATGTAAAAATGGGGCCTAAAGCTGAAGAGGTAAAGCATCTTGAATAAAAGTAGGTTTTCAGTTCAAAGAACTCCAGAGAGCTCACCAACCTGATTCGTGGAGCAGGAATCGTATAGCCTGGGACCCTGAACAACTAGGCTTAGATCAGAGGACATTAGGGGTCTATGCTGTGAGGGTGGGGGGTAGATGTTTGACACCCAACAAACTGAGCCGACTGAGTCCAATGAACTGTAGCTGCGAGCTAACTGTAGCTAACGGAGGTTGGCGGGTGTTTTAGTCAGAAAACCACTGTAGAGACTGTTATCTTCTGCCTTCAACATGAGGCCAAGTCTGAGGCCTTCCATGGAGCAACCACGAGGGCAAGCCGCTACCAGTCAATCAAAAGAACACGCCCCAAATTATTCATTTCAAGCTTAAATTATATCTAAATGGATGAGTTACAAATATTTGCACAATCAGCCTATATAAAGCAAGTGAATTTGATATCATCAGCTGTAAGAAGTAGCCCAGAGGAGGCTTTTATGAAAAATGCAAAACAGAACCGAGAACAAATCCTTGAGGCACTCCACATGAGCCAAAGAAGTAGCACCCTCATTGGTCACAGCATAACACTTTCTATTTGAAAGACAGGAAGAAAAGCAATTAACAGACTCTTTGTAACAAATCAATAAATTATCCTGATTATTATCTAGGATCATGAGAATATCATTGGTATCGCTTCGGTGAACCGTTTCAGACAAACTCCTGATTGAACTTGTCCAGCATTCCCTGATCATCAGCTCACAAACAACCAATCTGCAGTAAATAGGTCTGGGCGGTGAACTAAAGTGTGTTTACCGACTGCTGTACAGGATGACGCCGTTGGGCTGCAGACGGATCAGTTTGTTCTCTACGGTCACGTCGTGAAACCAGGCCGATTTGGCGTTGACAATGAAGGTGTCAGGTAGCCACAGCTTGTCCACGAAGCGACTGTCCAGTCCCAGAGTCTTGTTGGTGTGGTTGTAGGACAGGCGGTCATCGTGCCAGCTCTGCCGCAAGAACACGGTCATGGTGTATTCCTGTAAGGAACAACACATGAAGGTTTTATTTTCTTTTAAATTTGCTTTGTGTTTGAAATAAATAATAAAACCATAGTAGAAACATGTTTTTTCCTCAGTCTTTAATTTTTAAAGAACAAGTCCCCTCCAAATCAATATTTTTTTGCTGATAAACTATATAAATGAGTGTCTAATTGTGCTGTAGACAAGTGTAGACAATAATTTTGCACTTTAGTACGTCTTAGTTAAAATTTAAATGTTCTGCCTAAAACTGTCAGTGTTGTGCCGTCTTCAGGTAAAAACTCTGCACTGCATTTGAATTTAAATCTGCCATCGCTATTGGCTAAGAGGTGGATTGTGACGTTGGCTGGTACATTATGATGTCACAATGTCGTGTGTGTGTGTGTGTGTGTGTGTGTGTGTGTGTGTGTGTGTGTGTGTGTGTGTGTGTGTGTGTGTGTGTGTGTGTTAGTGGCTCAACAAATGCTGTTGCCTGGCAGAATGAGAGGGTGGAGTCGCTAAAAAATACAAACACAGGCTCACAGCCGCATTGTGACATCATATGGTACCAGCTAACGTCATAGGGTACCTCTTAGTCAAAAGCGATGGCAGATTAGAATTAAAATGCAGTGCAGAGTTTTTTCCTGAAGACGGCACAAAACTGAGTTTTAGGCAAAATATTAAAATTTTAACTAAGATGCACTAAAGTGCCAAATTATTGACTACATGTGTCTTCAGCACGATTAGACTCTCATTTATATAGTTTATCAGCAAAAAACTGTTGATTTGGGAGTGATTTGCACTTTAAGTATTTTCTTTTATTATATTTTACTTTCTGATTAAATTGTTTGGCTCAGTTGACGTGTCCTAACTTGTTTCCTTTTCTCAACGGTCATAAATAAATTTGACATTGGCATTTGTCCTCTTTGATTACAAAACATTTGAGAAACAGAACCATATTCATCAGCAGAAAATTAATTAGCCTTCCTTTATTTCAGCCCTGTGTGTCACTTCAAAATAAAATGTCTAATTTTAGACCTTGGGAGATGAAAAACTAATTTAATTGATTATTTTTCCTTTAATGGTTGCATTTTTCTCTCCAAATGAGGCTAAATAAGTCTTTTTCAAAGCAAACCTTTTAAATTTTCATGGATGAAACAGAAAAGCACAGAGGGAATTAATGAAAATTTCCCCGTAAATCTTGAAAGTGAAGCAGAAACAAAACAGCTCTTTCTTTGAGTGGAACACAGTCATTGTTAATGCACTTGTGAAAAGGGTCTGTTTGGTGGATTTGGATCATTTTGGATCTCAAAACATTTTGCTTCAGAATTATGCATCCCCTCTGGTGCTGGCAGATTGTGATAATGTTTGTTTTCTCCTTTTGCAGCCTGACTTCCAGAGGTCACCACACTTTCTAACTTGATTGTGGATGCTAATGAAAATAAAACTTTCCACTTAATTTGGATTTTATCCTATAAAATACATGAAACTATCCAATCATTTGACAAGCCGGTGTCATGCGTTCACATCGAAGACTTCCAAACCCCTCAAGTTAAATAAATCAGGCTTATGCAAATGGAAAATCTTTGATCTTTGTGGCACCATTCAAGTTGGGTGATGAAACATAGTCTCAATATGGAAAAATGAAGATTTTTGTACTTTTTACCATGTTTGCTTCAGAGATGTGGTCGATGCTGGCCACTTCAATGGCCATGGCCACATTTACAGGCGGACCTGTAGAGGAAAAAGTGAGAAAACAAGGCAAATACACACACACACACACACACACACACACACACACACATCTTCTCTGCTCATTCTGAATCCATCGACCGCTCACATCCTCACTTCATTACCCTCCCACCTGCCATCTTCCCCGCATCTCAAACACTCCCACAGTGCGTAAAGATTAAGCATTATCCAGTTTAACCATGCTAAGCAGCACATCACACTGTGGGCATTTATAAACAGCACTGTGGTCTCACAAAATCTGCAAAAAATCAGCTTCTGACAACATTCACACACACACACAGAGCAAAGTGTTTTCACCCAACAGTTCACCATATGATTAGCATGGAGTGTGCTTCAGTAATCGGATGCTGTGGCGAAAAAGCTGCAGGAGAGCCTGCTGAAGCAGAGCAGAAAGGTTGTTTGTGCTGAACATCAGGGAATCACACGGTGCAATTCTGCATCATTCGACACCTTCCCAAAATCTTTTTGGGCTAATTATATCTTCTGTTGGTCATGCACCACATGCGTAACACCGTTTTTACCAGCATCAGATAAATAGCTCAAAGAATATGAATTTGTAAATGTGGAAGAAACTGATATGGCACAATAGAAATGATGATGAAATCTTCACAATTCAGTGGGAAAGGGTGGTAGTTAGGATTGTGTTGTTCTTGTCTTTTTGCATTGTATGGAGCCTAAAATTTCCAGAGGATGAATTCTAAAAAGAAAAACACCATATCCACTGAAGCAGTTAACATATTCTTGGTCATTTTGTTTGTAAATGATGCACTTTCCACTGTAATGCTGTGAGATGTGGAGGCTAAACACAATAAAATCAAGTCAGTTGGACAAAATAAGAATAAATTAGAAATGTTGTGCAAAACGCAAAGAAATTCACAAGTTTTTCTTATTAATGTTATTTTTATAATATTAAAGATATTTTTCCGCTCAGTGCATGGTTGTTTAGGAATTCTAGCTCCTTTTTTTGCAAAGATGCTGATTTACAGCATCTGAGTCTAAAATATTTAAATTTCTCTCGTTAAAACTTAAAAAATACTCTATTAAGACTTGTGAATCTCCTTTTTTTGCAGGATGAAAAACATTCCTGAATCCTCGTGCGTGGGGGACACAAAACTCCACATTCAGGACAGGAGTTGAATGAAGGGAATTACCCCAAACAAAGAGGCATGATCCCCTGATGCTCGCGACTGCCCTTGGTTTATATGCACTGTTCAGCACATCATAAGGACACACGTATGACGCTGCGGTACGAAGCTCTGTGCAGGCGTGCGGCACGCCATAGCCCCACATTTTCACCTCTACATAACTGAGTTAAGCTGTGAGATTGAGAAATCTATCGTTGTGGTCATTGGACGCTTCACATTTAGCAGCCATTCTTAGCAAAGTCTCCAGAGGGGTGCGCGGTGCTCATGCCACCCCTACTCTCCAGCTTGTCCTTGAGGGCCACCATCCTCTGTAATCCCTTTTGTCTGAATGTTGGTTAGCGTATGTGCATGCGTGCATGTGTGTCTTTAAACGATTCACCTTGCAGAAGAATCATAGCAGGTATTTGCATGATTTAAATACAGATTTGCTCTAAAAATATGGATGACATGTAAACATCAGGTGTTTGGGATTTCTGGCATTTTATGCTAAGTATGGCTGGAAATGTGAGGGGCTGATCTGCAACCCAACACCACAAGCACTAGATCTCATACTCACCTCCTATCCCAGGGCGAAAATTTCTGGCATAGCCCTTCATTAAATCATCCAGATTAGGTAACCAGGATATTTCAATGTCTGTACCTACATAGTCCCCAATGTCACTCAGCATGGCCCTAAAGGAGACAAACAGCAAAGAGTCAGCAGGTTTCAGCAGGAAATCAAACCAGAGACACCAAAATAAATCTGTCGCTGCTTGGTTTGCAGACAGACAGCCGCTGCAAAGATAAACAGAAGACTGGGGAAAAACACGTAAGGCTGATTAAACAGAAATGCAGGAACATTTTACAGCTAATTACATTAAAGGTCAAAACATGAACGTGTTTAAAAAGAGCATCGCAGAGAGGACGAGTTTAACAAAGAAGTGTGTGAGAAACTGTAATTACAAATAATTTGGATGATGTCTATCTATGTTTTATTATTTCCTAATTAAAACCCTCTGATGCATGAATTATGAGATCTTCAACCATGATTTTTTAAACATTTTTTTTCATTCATCTTTAAGTGTGAATTAAACAAATTCCAACAAACATTTTTTGTAACATTTTGTTAATTTACAAATACTTTATTACATGTCCATCTCAGTGGACAGCGTGCCTTCTGAACATGAAATATGTTGGCTTGCCTTACTGAAGTCCAACTGGAGAGGCTCACATGCAATAAAGTCTTCAACAGCTGTGCTTAATAGCAAAAATAAATAAATAACAATTTTGAGTACCTGTCCACTGTAGTGACCATTATGCATCAAAGGGTTAAAATTTAATGTTTCTTAGAATGCTGAACCAGAACAAACAACAGGATCAGAAACAAAACAAAGTATGTCTCTGAAATTTAATGTTTATGTTTTTCATGAAGAGGAAAAACTGTTTTTTAACAAAAGAAAAACAAAATGTGAAAATGCACTGATTTGTGTAACGGTATGAAATGACTGTTTTCTACCAAAAGTCATTTTCCCCCTCTCCTCTGACACAGAACTAGTCTGCATGAGATATGGCCTCAAGGTCTCATGCATTTGTTATAAAATGCTTCTTTCCAGCTCAAGAATGAAGAATGGACTCTCTCCTTTTCAAAGAACTCTATTTTAATGAAGCTAATCAAACAAAGTGTTAGTCAATAAATAAGATGTGACCAATCTGTGAAATCAAAATATTAATTACTTTGTTATAATCCCATAGAATATAATAAGTAATATGACTTTAAATGGTCCAATAGGACTGATCTCACATAGCGTTAAGACATGACACATTGCTTTTACTGATCCAATCAAAATCTGCCAGATCTGACGGAGGCGTGGTTTTGGTGGTGTTTGGTAAATATGTCCTTTTTTGATTCAACCGTAAATCAAAACATCCAAATTATAAAACTATGCCCACGTCATCTTTAACGCCAGTTCAAAGCGTTCTAGAGAAGTTGTCGGAGTGGCCAATCCATAACTTTCCTCTTCAGCAGGGGCGGCGTTAGGCCCGGCTACTTGGGCTGAAGCCCCGGATGTTTAATGAAAAGCCCCGGATCTAAATTGTGGAAGTAACATGCAGTACCAAAGTCCAACAGAGAGGGAGCAGCTGGCAGTAGTTTGTATACAGCCTGCCTGAGCCTCCACCACTGAAGAAGAAGCCCTTCAGCAGCCGGCTTCTTCTACACTCTCTGCCTGAAACGCATGAGTGAAGATGGACATAAGGACGCTTTTTAGACCAAAAGTACAACGACAGAACCCCAGCTTTGATGAGACTGGTGTTGACTCAGGTTTGTGAGTCTTATTTGAAAATATTTGTTGTGCTGCTGGTTTGCCTAAAGCTAGCTTATCAGGTAAAGTTGTTGGAGAAAGAAAGGGAATATTTACTATCATCTCACACTAAACACTAACAGGAACAATATTCTGCCCTGAAAATGCTGAATATGTAGCTTCAGATTAAAAATTATGTGGTACAAGACAAATATGATGTTGACTAGTGCGTGTCACGTGTGTGTGTGTGCGCGCGTGCGTGTGTGTGCATGTGCGCGCGTGTGTGTGTTAAGCCCCGGATCTTCTTCAGTCCTAAATCCGCCCCTGCTCTTCAGCCAAAACAACCAACGACAAGCTGGATAAAATCTGTTACTGTTCCAATTGCTGCAACAGTTCTTTTCAGAATAAAAGCTGAACCATCACGACCCAGGTTTGGGTCTCACTAGATGCCAACAAACTGTCGTGACCCGGGAGTATCTCAAGACTGGTCTGGTCGGCTGCCGCGGCTGTTCCTACAGGCTTCGGCTCCACAAGGTCAAGCTGGACCTTTACACCTCCTGATCTAGACGGGGACTTCCGCTAAGGGTATGTAGGCCGACAAGAATGGCGTCGAATGTGTTTATGAATCTCCTAACCAAAGCTTAGCGCGAAGACATCACCTTCACTTCCCATCAGAACTAATCGCTTCTTCGGATTTGCTGGTTCTGAGCAACATTCCACATCACACCATTCTCCTTCTCAATCACCTTAGTTACACCATACATTTAGTGTTAAAGTTAGTCTAGTTTAATTTGTTTAGTAATAAATCTATAAACCTTTAAACTTGACTCTCTCTTCTGTTGTCTCTGAATTAATACGAAGCTGTTATCTAATCCCTGCAATAAAGAGTTCCAATCTTCTGGTTAAACAGTGCCCACAGATCCATAAGGTTGATTTCACATCAAATCAAATCAAAGCTTTATTTATAAAGCGCCTTCCGCATCCCTGTCAGGAAGCCCAAGGCGCTGAACATGGTTCAGTACAAAGTTAAAGAAAGTGAATAAATCAGAAAATAAAAGCAATTCAAATTACAGATTACAAATTACAAAAAAGGTGAAACATTCTAGTAGAAGACAAATGTGTAAAACAAGGGAAAAAGTGAACCAATGAAAACTCAGATAAAATCAACATAAAAGAGGGACAAATTCAAACATGTATTTCCATATTTCCTAAGGAATCCTATGTCTCATGGCTTATTAAATAACATGTAATTTAAATCATTACATTTGAAAGAAAGAAATATACTATAGATATATATAAATTATATATATATATATATATATATATATATATATATATATATATATATATATATATACAGAATAACAGAGTTGTTGATTCCCTTTAACTCGCTGCTTTTAAGAATCCAAGTGAAAATCTGTAATAAGAAGAAATCAAACTGAACTACTTCTCTGAGCTGAGCTTATTTATGGTGGACTAAAATTACAGACTTTGATTTGTCAGACCAGAGCAAAGCTGCAGTTTGATAACCCCTTTCTGCCATCAGCAGACAGTTCAAATCCCACCGTGGATGATTTAAACATCAGTTAAAGCATCAAAACTCTAACTTATAGACACCAGTTATATTTTTATTTTGGAGTACCAACGGTTAGAGAGTCAGGCAGCATGATCAGATGTGTAAGCACTGAAATAATATACACTGAGTAAGTTTGAGCTCCACAAACGAGCAGCAGAATCCTGATAAATTGGCTTTCAAACCAAAAGGTCTCCTCAGAGCTGCAGCGTTTTTAAACAAGAGGTGATGCAAGATGCCGGTAAACATGTCCTGTTTTATTCATCTCTTCTCCTGAAGTGGATGAAGACTGACGTCTGTTCACAGTCCTCCGTCTGTAAATATTCACTCTCATCTGCTTCAGCAAGAACAACAACGCTGGAAAATCTTCTAAGCTCACCAGCTTCATTCCTGTTTCATCTCAGGATATCTGCAGCAGCTGCAGTTACTTTTTATTCACTGTGACGGGGGAAGCACAACATCTGCATTTAAGACAATCTGTTATTAAGCTGAAGGAGGTTAAAGGAGTGAGGGGAATGCAAATTTTTGTAATTCTCCACAGTAGAAGAAGATATAAATTAGTGGTGGGGCTCAATTAAAAATATTTTAATTAGTTAGAGGCTTTGTTATTAATTCATCTTGATTAATCGCATTTTAATCCATCCATCCATCAATCCATTTTTCTCCGCTTATCCGAAGTCGGGTCGCAGAGGCAGTAGCTTAAGTCGAGAGGCCCAGACTTCCCTCTCCCCAGCCACTTGGGCCAGCTCTTCCGGGGAAATCCCAAGGCGTTCCCTGGCCAGGTGAGAGACATAGTCCCTCCACCGTGTCCTGGGTCTCCCTTTAGGCCTCCTCCCAGTTGGACGTGCCCAGAAAACCTCACCAGGGAGGCATCCAGGAGGCATCCTGACCAGATGCCTAAACCACCTCAACTGGCTCCTCTCGATGTGGAGGAGCAGCGAATCTACTCCGAGCCCCTCCCGGATGACCGAACTTCTCATCCTAGCTCTAAGGGAGAGCCCAGCCACTCTGCGGAGAAAACTCATTTCGGCCGCTTGTATCCACGATCTCGTTCTTTCGGTCACTACCCAAAGCTCATGACCATAGGTGCGGGTAGGAACGTAGATGGACCGGTAAATCGAGAGCTTCGCCTTCTGACTCAGCTCTCTCTTCACCACGACAGACCGGTACAACGCCTGCATCACTGCAGATGCAGCACCAATCCGCCTATCGATCTCATGCTCCAGTTTTCCCTCACTCGTGAACAAGATCCCAAGATACTTAAACTCCTCCACTTGGGGCAGGACCTCATCCCTGACCCGGAGAAGGCATTCTACCCTTTTCCGAATCATTCAAGAACATTTGAAATGAGGATAAAAATGAAGCGTAGAATCAAACAGACATGGACATTATTATTGTAAACTCAAGTTAGACATCAAAAAAGTATATCATCCTTTATTAGAGCTGCTAAATGTGATTCATGACCGACTTTCTCAACATTAACTAACTCATCTGGTGTACTTTAAAACATCTAACCTCAAAACGAGTTTGTGAAACAGTTTTTCTAAAAAGTCCTTGTGTGATTGTTAAGAAATAAAATAGAAATATGTTTTAACCAATGAGCAGAAACTTTGGTTTGATGACCCTCCGTATATAAAACGCAAAAGTTAGACATTTAATGCAAATGTGATTATTGCTTTAGGTCCTTTTAAAATAACATATGATACATCACAATGCTTATAAAAATATACATAAAGAGATTTTTTTAAAGATGTTTCCTATCATTTCTGTGCAGCCTGGTACCAAGTCATCCAGCAGCACTGTTTCACGGCCAAGTAATC